GGATTTGATGCCCAGGGTGAGGAGGAGGAGGAGCAGGAACTCACCCCAGTCCTGTAGTCCTCAGTGCTGAACTGCAGGTAATACTTGTGGCCAGACTCTGGGATGTTCTGGAAGAGAGAAGATGGAGCCAGCAGTGGGATTAAAGCCTTGTGTGCTGCAAAAGGAGCTCTGAGGGGGGAAGGTCCTTCTGGATTCCCTAGGTTTGAGTGCAGCATCGCTGAGTTTTAGTCCTCTTGGTGTTTAAGTACAATTCTGGCTGTTTGCAGGGCCCAAAGCAAACCTCTGTGTGTTATTTATCTAACCCTGAGCCTTCCTGTTCCCAGCACACTTTTCCCAGGAAATGCCCAATGGTACAAGGTGAGTGGAGTTTCACACCCACAGCAGATCCTCAGCTCACACCTGCCTGTGGCACCTGCAGAGCTGGGAAATGCAGGTCAACAATTGCTTCAGTCACTCTGTTTTTATTAAAAATCCCCTCCTGCAGCTTTAGGGTGAGTCAAGTCCAGTGTGGAGCCAAATCTCACCATGAAGGAGGTGCAGGAAACAGAGAGGATGAGCTCAGATTTTCTGATCATTTCTTTCTTCTCCCCATCCTCCTTCTCCCCTTTGCCCTTTTTGTGCAGTGCCTCAAACATTGTGACACTGGGCCATGGGCAGGGGAGTGACAGTGGCTTTCTGCAATGCAGGGTCACCAAAGGAGGAGGGACTGCAGTGGAATGAGCTTTGGAAGGCTCTCACCTCGTGCAATAACCACACTGAAGTCTAAGATTCCAACTGCTGTAAAGCCACCCAAGAGGTGTTACTGCTATGGCTTACAACACCTCTAACCTGACTGAATTTGGGGATTTTTACAGTGACCCAGGATTGCTCCTGTGTATCACCAGTCCTGCAGGAGAGAGGAGCTGCAATTCTCAGCAGGACTTCTTAAAGAGCGCAGAATTCTGTGTTTCTGGGGGTTTTGAAGCAGAGATTCCCTCCTGATTTGCAGCAGCTCCCCCACAGTACTGCTAGTAGCTACTACCACCCTACTACTGCTGCCTAGACAGCTTGCAAATGATGCCACATAGCTAAAACAAATATTTAGTCTGCTGTGAACACCTGAGGCTTCCTGAGCTCACTGGGGAGAAAGGAGAAGCTCCATTTGGCACAAAATAATTCTAAAAAAGTCTTTGTAGGCCTGAAGGGAAACTTTTATTTCCACTGTTATCCCCACTGTCATCCCAAATGCTGTTACCCAATCCCAGTGTGGGCTGGGCAGAGCTCAGGGATGTCTGGCAACCCCCAGGGAAGCAGCCAAAGATAAAAGTGTCCAAAAAGGGAAGAAAACAAGTGAGTAATTCATTTTTCCACTCAATATCTGGGTCACGGGATTCTTTTACATCTGGGCTCCAAATTACAGCGACTTTCAAAACTGACAGATTTTTAGTCCTGGGAAGGCCAAAACTGAAATTTCAGAGCAGCTTCACTGCAGGTCCCTGAGGAATCGCTTTCCAATCGGTTTCCAATCGGTTTCCAATCAGTTTCCAATCGGTTTCCATTCGGTTTCCAATCAATTTCCAATCAGTTTCCAATCGGTTTCCATCAGTTTGCACTTCCATCTGTCCCTGCCTGTTTCCCCAGCAGGATTTTCCCCTGGGATCAGTTTTGGCCTGGATCCCTGAGCTGGGAGAAGGAGTCAGAGCTGCCCCTGCTTGGATTCTGCCTTTCCCACCCACCCTGGGGCTCTGGCTGCTGCACATTGATAGAACATTTCTAATTGATTGCTGCTATCAGGGAGCACATTTCTAATTGATTTCTGGTATCAGGGAGCAGAGCTGTGGTGCTGCTGCTGTGTCCACCTGGCTATTTGAAAACTGGATTTTCTAGCCCAATTTAAGCTGTGAAATGTCCACCTGGCTATTTGAAAACTGGATTTTCTAGCCCAATTTAAGCAAATGTTGCATGAGGTTCACCTTTCCCTTTCCTCTTCACCTCTGTACTCCTGAATTCGGATTTCCAGGACAGACTGGGACAGGGCATTGCTCCCAAAAGCTTCCCTTTAAATTCTGGGATCTTTATCTGGCACAAACTAATGCTTCATTATCAAAAGTCCATTTTAAAGTGCGGGACAACAACTCCAGGAGCTGCTGTTTTCTAGAAGATCCTCACTTAAGAGAAAAGAAGGGACAACAAAAACCATCTGCATCCAACAGCAAGGTAAGGATTATTCCAGGTTTTGCATTTTGTTGCCAGGAAACAAAGTCTCATTTTACCTGAACTTGAAAGATCTTTCCCATCTAAGAGAGTTCCCAGTCCTGTTTCCAATTACCAGTTTCACCAGCTCGGGGGCTAATAAAGTTAGTATTAAATTACTGTGCTCATTATTAAATTCCACTAAAAATTATCCTGATTTTATGAGATCCAGTAATAGAGTAACCAATAGGAAATTAGCCCACTTTCAAAAATAATTAAATACCAGACAAACCTAAAAAAATACCCAAATCCCAATATTTTTGCCCCTTCCCTTCACGTAATACAGCCAATTCCTTGCAGGAAATGCTTTTCATTTTTTTCCAGGGGAGGACAGGAAAGAAGGAAGTGCCCACTTTTCATGCATTTCTCCTCTTGTTTTCACAGAGTGTGCAAAAAAAAGGAGGGGAGGAGGAAATAAACTGCAGAGAGTGGTTCCAGGGAGCTCCTACAGCAGCCAGCCCTGAGGAAATAAGGAGCGATTTCACTTCTCTATAGTGAGGCAGTTATTTTCCTTCCTGTGTGAGGAGACAGGTGGCTGGTGGAGGGGGAAAAACCCCTTTCCCTCCCCACAAATATTCACTTATTCTTCAGCCAGGCACAGGTGTTTATATAAGGAAATGTTCACATGTAGACATATGCAAAGTGCCCAGGAAATACAGAAGGAGCACGGATATTTTGGAGAGTATAAAATAACAGAGAATTCCTGTCATAGGTGTTTGTAGCAATTTCACAGGAAAACTTCAGTATCCCAGGAGCACCTCCATGCTCAGCACCCAATAATCTCTGTAACACAAGGGCTGCATTAATTAATGCATCCCAGATATTCCTGGTTGGTTTGGAATATCTTTGTGGAAAGGGGAGATTAAACACTACATCCTCTTACTAAGTTTTAGAAGCTGCACAGGATAAGTAGTGGAAGATCTCCAGA